GTGACAGTGTTCAATGAACAAACTTTTCAACAGTAAAAAAGAAAAAGTTATTTCTGTTCTTTTCTTTTTAATCCAGCAGCCCCCCAAGCATTGAGTACTCACCAGATGCAGTGAGTAAATATAGCGGGGAAGTGACGACATCGGTGGCCAGGGCAATAGCGGGCATAGCGGCCACTGGTCTTATAACACTGAGACCTGCAGTTGAGGACGAGGTGTACTTTTCTCATTACCATTACACCTATGCATGTGGACGCATCAATCGTGCATCCAGGGAGAGTGTGCCTTTTAAATGCAGCCGCTGTAGCCCGAGCATTAACTTGAACAGGTGACAGCTGCCACTTGTAAACAGCAGATGTGGGATTTCTGCTGCAGGAACACACAGGTTCCTGACACAGGTATTCCTAATCGCACCTAAATATACAGGTGTGAATGGGGCGTAATGCCATGTGAATGAGATCATGTTGCATATATAGTGAAAGTGCTATTGCTTTCCTGTATACAGTGTTAAAGGCTAAGTTTACGTTTTGGACTATGTTTCATGTTAGCCCATATTCAGGATGTAACATGAAATATGGTCACATGTCCGTACCCACCAGTTTTCTGGATCTGTTAAAGTAGAACTATGGAGTTAGGGCTATTCCCCATAGTTCTCCTTAGGGTAACGGGAGGACACAAACTAGCATCCTCCCGTCACCCTAAGCTCAGTATAGGGCGAGCTACAGCTCTCGGTATACTGAGACGCCGCAGCTGAAGCGGATCCCGACAATTATGTCTGGATCTGCCCAGCTGCGTGAGTGACAGCTGGCTCTGCCTAACTAGAGGCAGAGCCAGCTGTACACGCTCCCTCCCCCGTCCGTTCCGCCAGTCAGCGCCTGAGGAGCGGGGAATCCAGCCCCTCCCCTGTCACGGCTCTCTGCCGTGACAGGATCGAGAAGTGAGCGAACGCCGGTATTTGTTCGCTCACTTCCCGATCTACTGAGCCGACCTGTGACAGTCTCATTGTCACAGGTCGGCTAGAACTATGAGGTGAGTGAAAAGCACTCACCTCATAGTTCTCCTTTAATGGAAAGACTACAAGTCCCATGAGCCACCACTGCACAGAGTCGTAGTTCTCAATTGAGTACAAGTGCGCTGATGTCCATTCATACCTCCCTGTCCTGTAACTAGAAGTTTATTCCTGGGTATAGATAGGGGTTGGGAGGAAGAGTCTGCAGGAGCCAGAACATTGCACCTGCAATCCACTCATTGCATAGGCATTGCTTTGCAGACTCCAATGCAAACATAAATGCATATTTTTTCTTTTAATAATGTGTGTGAATTTGTTTTAGTTTTTTTGTAACAGCTGGGCTATAGGGGGAATTTATTAACACTGGGGAAGCTCTGCATGGCAACCAATCAGCTTCTATCTTTAGCTTGTTCGATTTAAGCTCTGAAAATGAAACAGAGAACCTGATTGGTTGCTATGCACAGCTGTTCCAGTTTTAGTAAATCCGTTGACTTGCGCTCTGTTGCGTTTTTTTAATTTACTTTACTTTAGTTTTTTTACCTCCTTTTTGACAATCTTTATTTTAATTAACATGTCCTGTTTTTGTTACGTGACGCTGAAAAAAAAAGTAAAGCATGCTCTAGTTTTTTGTTTTTTTTATCAGACTTCAATAGACTGGAATAGATCACAGCGGTGCGAACAAGTCCTATTCATTTTTGGTGCCCTTGTGTTAGCATATGTTGAAAAACGGATCGGAACGTATCACAGCGGTGTGAACTGGTCCTATTATTATTATTACATAGTATTTATATAGCGCCAACAGTTCGCGCATCGCTTTACAATATAAGGAAGACATCACAATTACAATACAATTTAAGACAAGATGGTAAGGAGGGCCCTGCCCCTGAGGGCTAACAATCTAAAAAAGGAGGGGGAAATGATACATGAGGAGGTAGCTGTGTGGGGATGGATTGTTTGAGAATGTGATGGTTCAGTGGTTAGGTTAGGTCTTCAATTCCCTGAAGAGATGAGTCTTTAGGGAACGCCTAAAGGCAGTCAAGGTGGGAGATAGACGGACAGGTTGTGGTAAAGAGTTCCAGAGGATGGGAGAGACTCTAGAGAAGTCCTGGAGGAGAGTATGGGAGGAGTGGACAAGGGAGCTGGAAAGCAGGAGGTCAATGGATGAGCGGAGGGGACGGTTTGGGTTATACTTTGAGACAAGTTCTGAGATATATCCGGGGGCGGAGTTGTGGATGGCTTCATAAGTGACTGTTAATATTTTTACTATTTAATACTTTTTTTTACAATTTGTACTATTTAATACTATTCACACCCATTTATTTTTCGGTGGCCTAGTATTAGTATCTGTTGAAAAACGGATCAGAACAGAACGGATCATAGTGAACTGGTCCCATTGAGGGCTCAGTCACCCCATATCCAGTGCATTCCGGTGTGGTCCGAGCCCGGAACGCACTAGATCGCGTAGATCAAGCTGGGCAGCGCTCTGGCGGGAGGGGGCGTGTCCCGGCTATTCATGTCAATGCAGTGCGATCGCTCGCACTGGAACGCGAGGTACAGGAATGCCCTCCGTTCCAGTGCAGTGGTTGGCTGCACCAGAGGGGAGGGCATTCCTGTATCTCGCGTTACGCTGCGGGTGATTGCACTGTGGGCGGGGTGGTGTCTGATGTGCCATTGTCCCAGCATGCTGCTCGGCTTTATCTTTATGATCCAGTGCGTTCTGGGCTTGAACTACACCGGAACGCACTGGATATGGTGTGACTGGGCCCTACCCACTCATTTTTCAGTGCCCTTGTGTTAGCATCTGTTAATAAATGGATCGGAACGGATCACAGTGGTGTGAACTGGTCCAGTTCACACCCATTCATTTTTCAGTGCCCTTGTATTAGTATATGATGAAAAATGGATCGGAACGGATCACAGTGGTGTGAACTGGTCCCATTCAGTTTTCGGTGTCCTTACGTTGGCATGCGTTGAAAACCAGATCCCAGTGCAACGGATCTGATTTGAATGGGGCTTAAGTGTATTGGGTAAAAAGATGGAAACGCCAAAAGTTCAATAACAATGTATTGGACTTCAAGTGAACGTGATCCCAAATTGCTGCAAAAGTGGAAATACCCTTTACACAGTCACCTGTAGCTTTTCCCCACCTCTGATGTTTTTATGTTCTGATAATATATCTTCACTTCACATGCCTCGTGCAATACGGGTTTGTTGTATTCTCGGTCTGTTTTTGCGTCAAATAATCCAAAAGCTGATTTCATAACCAACCCGCCAAGTTGTACACTCCGCTAGCAGCATCGTGCGTGTACAGTAGTAGCCAGTGCGCGTATCAGAGCTGTACCCCAAAGCAGCCACTAGATGGCGCTCTCCTTCGAGGCCCAGCGGACGGATAGGAAGTGAGCGCAGCCCTGCAGAGCCGTAGTGACAGGGAGCAGCAAGGGTTACTGCAGAGGAGGAAGAGCAGGGAAGCCCAGCATGCGCTATGTGCTGATGATAGGTTTTGCACGCATGCATATACAGTATGTGCATCGTTCTCTGAGGGGCTGGGATGTGTCTTTAGGAGGAGGAGGTGGAGAGAGAGGGGGTGAGTGCATGTGTACATATGCATGGTCAGGGGGAGTGGTTCTCTGCCGCTTTATTTCCTAGTCTTGCAGAAAGAGGCAGTGCTGAGTTGGTGAGACAAAAATAGACAGAAATTTGCAGAGAAATATAAGGATTGTGTATGAGGGGAGGGAGAGCAGCATTAGGCTGGTTTCCAGGAGGAGCTCTTCTCTCTCTCTCTCCCCCTCTCTCTCCCTCTCTCTCCCTCTTTGTGTTATTTATAGACTCCCCTTTTTTATACCGATTTCCTTCATAGCTATTTTCCTCCGCGACGTTATGTGTCCCCGGCATTGCTGACACCTGGAAGAGAGGAGAAGCAGCAGCAGCCAGGGAGGGGAGAAGGGGGGAAGAAGGAGAAGAAGAAGAGAGAGGAGCACACCAAACTGATTGATCACACAGAGGCACCGCGACTATTTTTAGCGGCGGTCTTCCCGTCGCAGGAATATAAATTCCTCTTTACCATAGACATCGGGGGGACGCGGAGATTACTACTGCGCCCTTCTCTCATTTCATCCTCAATTCATCTGGACGGACATCCGCAGGAAAAATAGAGAGGCGAGGAGAGGGGTCGGAATAAAAGGCACACAGATCCGTCCTTTCACATCTGTACTAGACGAACGAGAGGTGATCATGGGGTGTTTGGGCAACAGCAAGACGGAGGATCAGCGCATCGATGAGAAAGCGCAGCGAGAGGCCAACAAAAAGATAGAGAAGCAGCTGCAGAAGGAGAGGCTGGCTTATAAAGCGACACACCGGCTGCTGCTGCTGGGTAAGGTGGACACGGGCTGTCATCTCATCTATGGCTGCTCTGGGGCCCTGCCATGCACGGCCAGGCCTATGTGTATGAGAGTGTGTGTGTGTGTGTGTGTGTGGAGGGGGGTGGGCTGCAAGGGGTTTATCCCCCTACAATCATCAGTCCTATGATTCCCCCACAAGGATCACTCCTATGATTCCCCCACAAGGATCACTCCTATGATTAGTGCAAGGGGGACACTGGGTGTGAGCCTGTCCTATGTGCAGGGCGACGCATGTTCCCAAGGATATGTGCCCGAAGTGCTCCTGTCTTATGCAATGACATTTGCCTGTGTTTGTCTATATGTTTCTATTTTTTAATTGCTGCCAGCTCTAAGGTTTGCTGCAAATTTACACGCTGATTATTTAATGTTTATTTTCCAGCTGCGATTGTAGTAATTGGACGTATACAAAATGTCACTACTTAATGACACACATGACCAATTTTCACTACCTTTTTATTCCCCCCCCCCCATGAAACTGTGATCAAAGGGGGGGATGAAGAGAGCAGGGCCTGCAAGCAGTGTCTGTTGGAAATGCATGGATGTTATTCTGTCAATACATTATCTCAGACTGTATTTTTATGTATATGTTTTGGCAGGTGCTGGCGAGTCAGGGAAAAGCACGATTGTGAAACAGATGAGGATCCTCCATGTCAATGGATTTAATTCAGAGTAAGGATACAGCACTATAGAAATGCATATGTCCTTTAATGATTCATGCTGTGGGTCCTGTACTGTACATTCTCCTATGTGATGGAGTAAAACAGTATCGCTTACATTGTGCATGCACGCCTGTGTGTTTTCTTACCCTGTAGGCTTCTCTACTGTATTTTTTGCTGTTGCTACTGCAGCGTTTGACAGGCCCTTGTGTAGCAACAACATGGCGACTATACTTTTACATAGCAGCAAATATCTAAATTCTGTGTCTGTGTGTGCAGAAGGGAGGCAGGAGCAGTAACAGATAAGGATGTGGCGCTTTTGCAAACATCATGATTTAAATATGTTGAATATTTCAAATAGTTAATCCATTTGAATGAATGTCTGTGGAGTCCAATGTTGGCCTGATTATAGTCTGACTGTATGGCTTCCTTTTCCTTGTACAATTTCTGAAGCCGGAGTTTTATTTATTATTTGCTGAAGGAATTGTCTGGCTCAGCAGTCGCACAGACTTTGAGTTGTAAGAACTACTCAGGTCAGTTGCAGTGCTTATGCTCAGCTACTCTTATGTTTTAATGCATCAGTAGTGATGACTGGACATAATGTTTGTGTGATTGTGTCCGCTTTAAGCAACCTGTAGGTTTTCAGTTACTTAAGAACTAAAAGTACCAGCACGCAGCATTAGGTGTGTGCAGACATGCATGACTGCATCTGTAGTTCCTGAACTGGAGGAGTGCCATAGTGCGGTTCTCTTAACTCATAATCTAGTTGTTTTAAAAGTCATTTTGGATATTACTTCCTTTTCTGAAGTACTGGTGTTGCCTTACCAGTTATTGGAACTTCAGTGCTGTCCATGCTTCCATGTTCCTCAGCGATAATAAACATAGGTAGGATTACCTGCCAGCATGTACAGCATGATGATGTCAAAGAATAAATATAGACATTATTCTTAAAGAGATACACCCATATTGACAAAAGTAGTTCACCACCATCATCTTTCTTTAATTATATAGCGTATGCAAGAAATATTGCTTAGACAGGAACTTGACCATCTTGTGAAAATCAAACTTAAATAAATTTTGCCTTTTACTTAGGGAAAAGAAGCAGAAAATTCAGGACATCCGGAAAAATGTTAAAGATGCCATTGTGGTGAGTATTTATTATCAGTGGTATGATTCTACTTCTATCACGCATGTCAAGTATCAATGTTTTTCATTAAAGAAATACAATTTAAAAAATATTGTTATGGGTTAGTGAGTCAGCTGCCTTCGGAGGCACAGAACTATCCATGTGCTGCATATTCATATGCCACAACTAGTGGCATATGAAAGGGCTATCACTGACCAAGACCACCCGTGGGCATGAGATGGACATCACCCAGTCTGTCTGATAGTGGTCAGATAAGGAAGCAATCATATGTATCCTCAACACCACCTGGCTGATTGATCTGTGGTTGGAAGGTGTCAATCATCTGTAATGGATTTCATAAATCCATATTTATTTCTCAAGATAAGGCTGGCACCAGTTATGTCTGCTCAGTGCATAAACGTGCATGTTTGGCCAAAAGATGTTTGTAATTAATTTCACGGGACAGTTGTGCAGCAGTTGTATCTTCTGACCCCCATCCAATGTCTAAAGTTAGCTTTACAATACTTATCTACCTTCTTTAAAAGATGACCCCAGGTGGAGAGTACTATGTTAACAAAGGTTATACTAAAACGTGTGACATGAATGTTCATCAGAATATTTCTGTATTTTACCTAAATACTCTGATAGGTCAGTGCTAACCTAGTTAGTGTTAATGTTATCTTTTCTTCTTTGTAGACCATAGTATCTGCAATGAGCACTTTAATACCTCCAGTTCCACTGGCGAATCCTGAAAACCAGTTCCGCCTTGACTACATCAAGAGTATAGCTCCACTATCAGACTTTGATTACACACAGGTAGGCTATGGGTACCTTTTCTTAACCTAGCTGGCTGTTGTCGCTTTTGTGTAACAATCTTCTCCTTATTCAATACCAAATTTGACTTTGGTGGTTCTCCTGTCTGCATCTGTTTTTTAAAAACAAGTTTGGTTACAGAAAGGAGAAGAATTAGGATGGCCTCTCTTGGTGCTATCAGGTTCAGACAAGGAAGTATGCAGAGATTTTATTAGAACGGAGTGATTACTTGCTAGGTTTTGTTTCAGATAAAGGGAAACCTTTACAGTGATGAAGGGTAATAAATGAACTGACTTCCGTTCTTTGCATATTTAACTAGAATATATAGGTGCTTTATGGAGGAGATAGATTTTGTATACATAGAGTGGCATGGTTTATCAATCACCTTTTTACAAAAGGATTTCCCTGCTGTTGTGTTTCCTAAATAGTTTCTCAGAAGCGGTAGTGTGAAATTCTTATTTTTTTTTTAGAGTATACAAAGCTTTTATAACTTGGCTAATATTGACATTTTGAGAACCCCTATTCGAAAAGTTCTAGAAACTGGCCGGAGATTGTTTCCAGAACTGATGTAGCAAAGGTTCTAGTTGAATTTCTTGGAATGGCATTAACTATTTAGCATGGTTGACATAAGCTGAAAATGCATTTTAGGGTTGTGCTTTCAAACTGGGTTAAAGTTCCTTCACAAGTCCTCTTGCAGAAACTTTGTTTGCGGGTGTTAACACATGAAAATCAGACCAGAAATGAAACATTTGGTAATCAGTTATGTTGGTCATATTTCCATGCTATGCCGTCTGAGTACAATGACCACGCATACGCCACACTTTTTAAACTATAGTACTTTGTTAGGGTTAAGGTGGCCATACACCTGCCGATTATCGTATGATAATCGCGTGAATTCCCACGATCATACGATAATCGGCTGGTGTGTGGTAGGTGTGCACGTCTTTTGTCTTACGAGCACATTGGAAAACCTGACTAAAATCTTACGGTTTTCGGCGGGTTTGTGGAGTGCTTGTAAGACAAATGCCCGGCGGGGGGGCTTGCGATGCTCGCAAGTATGATCTGTATGTCCAAGATGGGCAGATCGTACAATTTTTTAATTACCTTACAACCCTCGCAAGGCCAAAGTCGTGCGATGGTTGTAAAGTGTATGGCCAGCTTTATGGGATGTTGTGTTGTTTCATTAAAGATGTACAGTGCAGATCCCCTTATAAGTTGCTTATCGTTTTATGATCGCATTACAGGATTGAGAAAAGGCTTTTCTTGTAGTACATTTATGAGCCTTTCTATGAGCTGCATGATGTTTTACAAAGGTTGTAGTGAGATCATGTATTAGCTATACTGCAGCATGTTATCATTTGAGTATGCAAACACTAACCTTGTCATGGACAAAAGAACAGCTGTATAATCTTATGTGATGCAAAGGCAATGCTTTAAAGGTGACTTGTTGAATGACATTAGTTCAGTTGCCATTGATCTCTGATTTCTTAGGACAATCTTTGTAAGTTTGTCCTTTTAAATAATAATTTTTTTCCATTGCTGACCTGTATAAAAACACAAATGTATTAATGTTTGAGCGTTTTGCTTTTTTTATGTTTGTTGCCTTTTTACATTTTTTGTTGATAAGCAGAATCTGTTTTTTTTTGGATTAATGAACATACCAACATTGGATATTTAGTGGCAGGAATGTACAGGATGAACCTATGTGTGTTAACTTATTTGCAGAATGTCCATGGACATTTTTCTTGACTGTAAAATGTACCTTTTTGTGGCTTTTGGTACAAATTGAATTCGGAGTTTGATTTGATTATTTTGTGTTTAAATCTTTTGATGTCCAGGCTTTCAATATTTGGATAGAAGTTCTCATGTTCAGGCTTTATTTTATTCTTGCCTTCGTGATTTTATTTATGTGATTTTTTTTTTTTTTTTCAATTACCTGGTTATTCAGGATTTTAATATCACAGATGTTGAAAATTTAGGACATCAGCTGAAATATCAGTAGTAGTGAAATGTTTTGTTTACTTCTGCGTTGTTAATATTCTAACAGGACACAAGAGAAGATGGGAGGGGATACTATTTTTCAGCATGACACCTAACATGTTTATATACAAACCGATGTTCCTTTTCCATGTGATTTGTTTCCACCTCGCTTCTAAATTTCATAAATGCTGCATATGTATTTAACATTCTGTTTTAGTGATTTTGAGCAGATGGTTTATGTTGCAATATATTAAAGAGGGTCAGTGTTATTTACAGGTGAAACTTTGGGGCAGTTTGTAAAGCCTTCCTATTTGATGATTCTCTTGGTTATGCAATGTTCATTGGTGGAGAAAAGCAACGTGGATTGTATGTCCTGTTTTCTGGTTGCCACTGGCAACGATTTTTCTTTATGTTCCTTTTTGATACACCCCTGCCATTATGTAGCGTCCAGTTGCCCCATGTTTAAATATTTCTCATGTTGTACTGTAGAAAAGTGGATCGAATGGCTAATGTTTGGAGGAATTTATGAAAACCGGAGCAGACCGACTCTGGAGCAGCTGTGCACAGTTACCAATCAGCTTCTCCAGTTTGTTCAGTTAAGCTTTGAAAATGAAAGATAGAAGCTGATTGGTTACCATGCACAGTGGCTCCAGGTTTTGATAGATTTCCTCTTAGAGTTTGTATATAGACGCACACTTTTATGTTGTTCTTTTTTTAAACCTTTGGAGTAGGGAAGGCTTAAAATCCCTGCTGTCTGTGTACCGTTGGGGAAATTTCCCCTTCACTTCCTATTCCAGAGAGGCAACAGGAAGTTAGAGGAAATCTATCTCCTAATGTAAGGAGTAATTCCCCTCTTAGTTCTTCCCAGAACAGGTGTGCTTATAGGATGATTCCCTTTAACCTCTTGTTTTGGGGTCTACTCAAAAATGTTGTATTTGCCCTCATTTTCATCTCAGTAACAATGGTCATCAGAACAAATAAAGGGGGTTAATCACCCCAATGGGGACACAGACAGCATTGAAAACTTGATAAGAGGGTCCAACCCTTCCTCACTCGATCACAAACTAGAAATACACTTTAGCCTGATTTGGGTATATTGTTAAAGTTGCAGTTTTAGTGCTTTTTCATACAGATGTTTGCGTTTACTGTAAACATTTTATCAGTATCCTGCATTACCTGCTTTCTTTTAAAGCATATGTCAAGGCAAAGTAAAAAACAATCTGCATCTAATGCAGACACGTATTGAATAATTTTCAATGTTTTATCCCTTGAAGTACAGAAATGCAGTGGCAGAAATGCACTCCGCTCTTGGAATGTGGTGTCAGCCCTCCCCCGGGTCTTTTGCTAAACTACTTAATCACTCTCTCTCTGAGATCTAGACAATATTAGAGCTAATCATTCTATAGTCCATCATAAGAAATAGGAGGTCTAAAGAACCTCTTTGTTATAACAAAGGAAGTGTACAAAGGGCACAGGACAACTCTTTTCTGACAAGATCAGCAAGTTTTTTTTTTGTACTGATCAGACAAGACAAACAACATGCTCCCATTAGTATATTTAACAGGCCGAAAGGTAGCAAATAGGAGTTCATTGTTAGGGCTACATAGACTTTAGGTTTAAACTGCTCCACTGCCTCTGCTGTTTGTTTGATGGCCTGCAAACTGATTTCAGTTGGATTAGATGCTTTCATCATCGGATCCCTAAACGCTTTTTGTAGCTTAAATGTAACCAGGTTGCATTCAAAACCATATCACTTTGCAGAATATGTTTTTCCATCCTGTAAAATGATGGGTCATTTTTGCAAAGTTCTCTTCCTATTGTTGGTTGTATTTTCAGTGGCCTGGTCAATGATGCAATGTGTACATTAGTGCACTACGATCTAGGCATTTTTGTTTTGTCAGATCACTAATGCACAATACAATTTTCATTCAAAATAAACCTGTAATTAGCAAGTATGGACACCTCCATTGCTGACCTCTATTTGAACATACTAATTACCTGGCTGTTCTGCTCATTGCCCTGTAACGTCGGTTAGGAGGCCTGCCTTCACCCTGAAGTTCTGATCTGCACACTCGGGTCAGTTTCTCTGAAAGTACTGAAGCCAGAGACAGCCAGCCAACTAGCTAGTATTTCCAGGAGGATACCAGTGTCAACCTCAAGAAGTTTTAAGGAAAGTTGTCCCTAAAATTCTTTCTTCAAATGTCTCTTTGCTGTCCTGCCAAAACATAAACTGTTTTCTCAAAGAGCATTTAAATGAAATAAGAAAACCAAATCTGGAAGGTTCAAAAGCTGATTTCTTTCAGATTAGAGTTTTTCATTCTATAAACCCTGAAAACTTTTTGGAGCCGAGATTTAACCAGGATGGCTTCCGGTTTGTCTGCAGAATAATTTTTTTTCTTTCTGTAAATTTTTTGCAAAGTTATCTCCCTATTCTCTTATGAGAGAGAGAGAGCAAGAGAAAGACACTAGTAGTAATTACGCTATTTTTAAAAAATGTTTATTACGACGGAAAGTAAATATAATTCTGTTCTAGTGTGTCAACAAAGAATAACTGTGTTACTCAATGCCTCCGCCCTCTGTCCTGCAACTTTTATACATATATATATTAGAGCATAGCCTTGGAAATATAGCTTTGAGTGATATTTATGTACAATTCGCTCCTAGTATTTATTAAAGCAGAAATGCAGGGATTTTTTTTTTATTAACCCTTGTAGTAGGGCTACCCTAACTGCAAGGGTTAACTGCTCGTTTGTGTCTAGGTTAAAAAAAAAAAAAAAATCAAAGAATTACTCACGCTTCTCCTTAAGCCTTCTTAGACCTGTCCCGGGAATGTCTCTCCCCCTCCTCTGCAGTGGTTTAAGGTCCAGCAAATCATCACCTCTATAGGGGGGGGGGGGGGATTTATCAAAACTGGAGCAGTTGCCCATGGCAACCAATCAGTGCATCTCTTCAGTTTGCTCAGTTGAGATTTGAAGCTTATTGGTTGCAATGCAAATGTGCTCCAGATTTTGTCTGCTCCAGTT